CCCCAAAACCCCAAAACCCCAAAACCCCAGTAAGAAGTAATTGTTTAGATTTATCGAAATTAATTTTAAGTATAAGAATTTAATTAGTTTATTTATTAATTTAGACATAGATAATATATAAGTAGATGAAACAAATTCTCTCTATAGTTTGATAATTTACTATTAGATTTATAAAACATAGATGTAAAAGACAAATATTATTGTAATTTTGACCCTTGCTCTTTTGGATGCTGCATACTGCCATTTCGCATGGGGCAAATGTCCTGATGTTTAGCTCAAAGCAACCCTAGATCCAGTAGAATACTCTGGCAAATGGTATGAAATGTACAGCGGACCACTTTTCAAAAATGTGGGTTAAAAATGTGTGACCGCTGACTATACATTATAAACTGATAGTAGCATCAGGGTAAAGAACAGAGCTATCAAATAAGATGGTACAGTGGGAGGCATAATGGGAAGAGCCACCTGCAGAGGAGCTCAATGCAGAGTTAAGTTTGACAGCCTCTTTATTCCATATGGACCTTATGAGGTACTTGAAGCAGATTATGACTCATATGCTGTTGTTTATACATGCAGTCATTATCTATTTGGAGTATTTAGACTTTAAAATATCTGGATTCTTTCAAGATCTACTACACTTACTGGCATTACATCTAACGATATTTTGACTTTGATAAATACAAAAATACCTAGCTACCCAACCAGCATTTTAGAAGTAACTGAGCAAGGCGGCTCTTGTACTTACGCTTGAAATCAAAAGAGATTTAGAATGAGAAAAGTTAAATTATATGACTCGTATAAGTAAATAAGAAATTAAGATTTAAAGTATAATAAAAGTGAAAAATATAATTAATTTGAAAGCAGTTAAGTAGAAGTATTTAGCAAGTCTCTAATTTCAAAGGAATTCAAATGAAAATCATTCAACTCGTCTTCTTGATGTGTTTCGCACTAGTCTGCTTAGCAAGCGCTTTGAATTAACGAGCAGCATTCTCATCGGGCCCAGCTAAATGTAAGTCTGCTAGGAATTATTGCACATCCGATTCAGCATGCTGCTCAAATAAATGCATCAAAAATTCTTGCCAAAAATGATTGAATGATCTCAATTTCAGTCTTCACAACTATAGCGAATGATTATCTATATCTTAAATTAATTAATTCATTTCAAAAACATTGCCTTTTAACTTTAATATCCATATAAATTTATGTATTCTCTAAGTAGAAACTATACATAGAATTTGAATTTAGACTTTCTATTCATATTTTTAAATTATTTAAAGGATTCCTAACAATTCGTTGATGTATAATTTCAAATATTAACTATTTTTAACTTTTTGACATCATGGGGTTTTGGGGTTTTGGGGTTT